TCCCCCCCTCCTCCCCCTCCTCCCCCTCCCCTCTCCCCCTCCCCTCTCTTCCCCCCTTCCTCCTCCCCCTCCCTCTGAGGCTGTTCCTTCCCTTCTTCCCTGTGATCCGGCCTTTCAGGGGCTGCAGATTCTTCCTCTCTTGAACCTTGGTTTTGGAAAAGCAATCTGATTGCCCCCCCGCAGTTCACCGTTCACGTGGGGGCGGCGGAAGCACACAGTGTAGCCTTGGCTTTTAATTGATTTTTGGTAATCTGGTCACTGCAGCTGCTACAGGTGGAAAGGAAACATAGAAGTTAGGTTTCCACCGCGAGCTCTCACTGCCAAAGCCCTGTGGGGACACACCCTCGGCAGGGCCCCCCAGGACCGGGGTGCCCGGATTCCTGGCTGCTCCAGGGAGCTGCTGGCATGGAGGGGCAGTGCAGCCTGTCTGTCCAGGTTAATCGGGACCCCTTTGTGGGCCCACCTGCCGTACATTTGGGGTTGCAGAAGGAGAACATACTTGACCCAGACGAAGCGCTGGTTCAAATCCCGCCTTTCACCTTGTTGGCTCTGTGACTGGCACATACACCCTCTCTCCGAACTGGCGTCCTCGTTTGTAACAGGAAGGTGACATCCGCCAGCAAGGATGGAGAAGGCTCAGTGGGGCTGCTCCCAGGAAGCCCTGCCCAGTGCTCGTCAAGGGCGGCCATTCCCCCAAATCCTTCTTGTGTGGTGGTGTTCTGATACTTTAGGGATGACATCCCTGACATGACGTTACCCGGCTCTGCTCCCAGTGGGAGGAATTTCAGTGACTTTTCGGGGTCGTGGGCTCCGTGTCCGAGGGTCACCAGCAGCCGGCAGTCCCAGCCTCGCTTGGCTGGGGTCACGTCTGCCACATTGGGTTGAGTGGTCCCTCATGCCCCACTGCCCAGCAGAGGACCGAGGACCCTGCCAGACCCAGCGAAGCCCCAGATGGGAAGCCCAGGATGGAGGAAACACGACCTGTTTATTAGCTAAGCTGCTCCTTCCACTTTCCTTCCAAACCCTACCATCATTCTTTAAAACACCTCTCCTTGAACTTCTGCAGGGGGGCCACTGTACACATCCGAGATCTTTCCGCTGTGCCTTTTATATAACTGAGAGCTGTTTTGAAATACTGAGAAGCACAGTGTCCCTGAGTGTGTGAAGGGCACCCTTTTCTGAAGAATGGATGGAAATCTCAGGGAACATTATTGGCTTGTGGGTCCTTCCTGGCGGAGACACATACCCAGGGGATACGTATTTTTTCTTTTTGGTATGACTGAAGATGTCAATGGTTCTCACTTATTTTGATAGATTTTGTTTCTGTTATAAACTGGTCAGTCTTAAGACATGTGCCCCATTCTTTACGTTGGTGTGCTAGAAATTCCACTAGGTGGACCCAGACATCCATCCAAATGCAGGGTCTTTTCTACCAAGAAGAGGCCTGATCATGTTTCCTTGGAGACCTTGTAACTTAAAGACGAAGTGGTTAGGAGGGCTCTCCGAGCTCACGGCAGCGTGCCCGTTCCCCCGCCCTCAGGATAAGAATGCATAGTAAGTATCTTAAAAAAAACTTAGATAAAAATACAAATGGCCTTGTCTCAGCACTTCTCTCCGTGTTATTGCTAGTCATCTGTGTTTGGAAAGACTTTGGCGCAAACCACGCAGCAGCACCAGCAGGTGGGGCGCGGCCGGCCTCCCGTGCGGCGGTGACAGCCCCGGGGGTGCCTGTGCTCAGCCCGGCGGAGCTTCCCTTTCGGGGTTTGTTTTCGGGTGGTATTTAAATATGGAGAAAGGTCGCCTCTGGGTTGATTGCAGGCCTTTTGCTACAGAGCCTCGGCTGAGAAAACGGATTCTCTTTATTGTGTACAAACATTTTAAATTAAAATTTACATTTACTCTGATAAAAGATGTATTTCTCCAATATTATTTGCATTTAAAGAAAAACAGTGACAATAAAGCAAGTCGTCACAAACGGTAGAGCAACACATTGCAGCTCGGTGTGGTCCAGCTGAGCTCCTGCAGCCTGACGTGCGTGTTTCACGGCGTCGTAAGGTGAGCCACGGGGGTCTGGAGCTGTGCCCACGCGGCGCGGCCTCGCAGCGCCAGAGAGCCGGTAACTGCGCTGGGTCTGTGCCGGCCACACCCTGCCCCCTGCGAGAGTGAAGCCAGCAGCGCCTGTCATCTTTCCCAGGATGCACGTAACCGCCTTTGGGACCCTGTCTTGGGACAGTGGGAAGGGACGGTAGCTGCATTTGAACTATTATTTATTGACTGACTTAATTTTTTGTTGAGGTGTAGTTGACGTATAGCGTGCTAGTTCCCGGTGCACGGCAAGGGGACTCAGTCACACGTGATGCGTGTGTGTTATATACGTATTTTTCATCATAGGCTTTTGCAAAGGTACTGAGCACCGATCCTTGTGCTGCACGGTAGGACCCTGCGGTTCGTCTGTTGTACATACTGCAGTGGTGTAGCTGTTAATCCCAGACTCCCAATTTATCCCTCCCCCCGCTTTCCCCTTTAGAAACCATAAGTTTGTTTTCTGTCTGTGAGTCTGTTTCTCTTTTGTAAATAAGCTCCTTTGCATCGTTTTTTAGGTTCTACATAAAAGTGATACCACGTATGTGTCTTTCTCTGTCTGACTTACTTCACTTAGTATGATCATCTCGAGGTCCACTCATGATGCTGCAAGTGGCATTATTTCACCCTCTTTATGGCTGAGTAGTACTCCATTGTGTGTATATGTATGTACATGCACCGCATCTTCCTCACCCAGTCATCTGTCGATGGGCATTTAGGTGCTTCCGTATCCTAGTTAACAGCTGCATTTTTATAGGCAGAACATCCCCGTTTGTTTTCCAGCTGGTTACAGTTTTCATCTGTGTTACCCGCTGTCATGAAGGTGTATTTTAAAAAGGATATTGTTTAGTCCTGTTCCTCTGGGTGTTTCATATCCTATGAAGCCATGTCCCCAGTGCTCCTGTTCCGTTGCTGGCTCTGAGCGCCCGGGCGGCTGGTGGCCGTCCTCTCTGGGGTGGGATGTGGGCCCTGAGGGGCTGTCACGGTTCTCTAATTACATGCTTTTCTTGAATTCCCAGAGTTTTCCCTAAAGCGTGAGGCACTAATGATGGCTTTTCCTTTTATTCTTGCAGTGTTTTCACAAATGGAAGATTATTTATCCCACCTGTGAAAATTATTATCCCCAAATTCAGCCTGGTGGAGTGGAATTGTGTGCTGGCCACGATTGGAGAGAAAGTCTTTCCTCTGGGAGGCGTTCGAAAGTAAGGCTCTCACTCAGCTGTGGGGACCCGGGTCTGGGGGCTTGTTTTGTGCTTTTCAAGGAGGATTTCCTGCCTGGACCAGCAAGGTCTGAAATGATTCATGGCTCACTCTGATTTTATTTGTTCAACAAAGTTACTGAGCATCCGCCCGCGCTGGGCGTGGTGACTACAGCTGACAAGGGGGCTTGGTGAGCAGCGGGCGAGGGGTGGGGCTGCAGCCGTGACCATGAGCGAGTGTGGCGTTTTGGGGGAAGTTCTCCGTCGTTCCCTGCATACAACTGAGTGTTACTGCGAGGATGCAGTAGACCAGGAAGGTCCTAGAGCCAGGCCGTGGGGTCCTGGGCTGGAGGGTGGGACGTGAGAGGCGGGGTGGTGGGGGGACAAGGTCCTGAGCAGATGGACGGTGCTGTGACCTGGAAGATGGGCGCTGGGGAGGGGAGAGGAGAGCAGGGCAGTGAACAGAAGGACCGGGGGTTTGCCGAGCAGCGCCGAGCCCAGTGGGACCGGATGCTGGGATCTGCAGTGGCAGCTGCAGGGCTGCAGGGTCCTTGGACGAGACGGGCAGGTGGATGGAGTCGTCCATGGCTGCGTGTGGGCAGGGACCAGCAGGGGAGAGGTTCCGTGTGCACAGGGGTTTAAGGGGGAGCTGGCTAGGGGGGACAGCAGGGGGTCAGACCACGGGCCTGGCTGTGGGGGTCTCAGAGGGAGCAGTGAGGAGCGGCATGGATGCAAAGCCGTAGTGGGAGGTTAAGACCTGGCGTCGGGGACGGCGCTGGGGTGACGAGCAGGCCGAGCCCTGCCGTGGGAGGGTGTTGAGAAAATGCAGAGAGGACAGTCTTGATCTTTAAAGGCGAGGACTCAGGAGACGTGGTTTGAGGCTGAAGGGTCATCTTTATGCACAGCGGTGGTCCCCGATGGCAGGCGCTGCGGGGGAAGAGCGAAGATGTTACTCCTTTTCACTTTGTTGTCAACTAACTCCCGCGGGGGTCAATTAAACATAAAAGATGGATCTCCCAAGAGTTGCGTTACCGGCAAGCCCAGTGGACAGACGCACTTACTGGTGGTAAGACGTAAGTGCTGGGAGCCCCAGGGCCCGGGCTGGCTGCCGGCCTGGCGAGCGCGGTGAGGAACGGCGACCACAGACGTTCTGGGAAGGCGGGCGTCTGTACGATCAGTACCGTCAGTGCCCGAGTCCAGAATGCAGTTGTAAATGTTAGTGTTTCTCTCCTGAAGAAACAGGGACAACCGTGTGGAGCAGATACAAGTGTGCGTGTTTTTGAAAGAAGCCAGAAACAGTGGAATTAATCGTAAGTGTCACGTGGTGGCGAAAGTAAGAGAAAAATCCTCGTAGGGGAGAGGCGAGCAGGCAAGTAAGGTACTTAGAGGGAAAATAGGACACTGGATCAGTAACTTTCTCTCTTTTTCCCCTGGACTTAAGTTAGTTCTCTGCGGCCGAGTTCAGGGAGAGTGCAGAAGCTGCAGACAGGGAGAAGGCTGAGAGAGCGCGTGGTGAGTCGGGCAGTCGTGTGACGCGCACACTGGGGCTTTTTAACGTCAATATACATGTTGGTTTGAACGGAGCCTAGAGCTAATGTGTAATATACGTTCGAAAAGTCGTCTGTATCCATCTGTGTTTATCCTTCCTTAGATAATGTTAACGTGCTTCGGTGGGGGTTCTGTTACACCTTTTCCTCGTGTCGATTAGAAATGTAGTCCAATTGTCAGTGGTGATAAAATTGGTTGATTTACTGGATGCTTTTGAGCTTGCAGGAGTGTGTGTTTGTGCATCGTGTTTGTATATTTCAGAGAAATCCTTAAGTGAAGTTGTGTGTGGGTCTCTGTGTGCGGGATTATTGCTGGTCTTGGTGTTAGGAAACGTGCTTCTCACAGACATTTTGTGGATTACGTGGTGGGCACGATGCTGACCATGGGGGGCCGGCCTATGCCGCTCACCCCGGGAGCTTGCGGCAGACAGGGCAGGATCAGTCGGTCGTTGCAGCGGAGGGCAGACTGTCTAGGAGAGGAGACCCCCCGGCTTGGAGTCGAGGAACATGGCAGAGGAGAGGGTCGGCGTGAGAAAGGGCAGGAGTCGGGGTCGGGCGGGCTGGGGGCCTGGGAGGAGAGGCCGGCTGCCCTGGAGGTGGGCACCGCCCCAGACGTGCATCCCGGGTGCCTCTCTGGCCTCACCCTGGTCCGGCCCTGGTTGGGAAAGGCAGTGTTACGGGAACTACCTGGGTGTGAGGCTGGCCAGGTGCTGTCCAGGAAGGGAAAGGCGTCAGCCTGGGGAGGGAAATGAGGGTGAAAGAGGGTGAGCTGGCCGGCCGAGGTCCCGTGGCCCTGGGCTCCTTCCATGTTACCTGCTGGAAGAGAAGGGTGGTGCGCGGCCCCTGGGCAGTCCTGAGACTCAGGCACAACTACTTTCCTTCTCCGCGTCCAGTTCAGTCCGCACTTGTCGGGCGTGTGTGGGGCGCATGCCCTGGACCTAACTGTCCGCCCTGAGCTTTTGCACCACCCATGGGCTCTTCCCGTTGGAGGCCTTCCCTCTTTCTGTGAATCTGTGACCTCAGCTTCATTATTTCTACGTGTATTTCTTGCTACTTCTACTGTAACTTGGTCTGGGGGTTCTTATTATCCGGGAGTTGGCACTGCTCCTCATTTTGATTTCTTACCTTCTACGTATCCTGTTACCACTCCCTCCTGCTTCCTGGGAGAATTCCTCTGTCCACCTTCCAGACAGTAACCTGCACAGCCCAGCGCTGCTGCTGCTGCGGGGGTCTCGCACGCCCTCCGCCCCCGGTGCCCTGCCGTCCAGCCCTGGTGCCCTGGCTCTGGGAGCACGTGTCAGTCCCGCTGTCTCCCGGGGCCTCTCGCTGCCGAGGGCGTCTGCAGCGCCCTGACTTACTCCTGGGGACACTGGTGTCACCTGTCAGCCCTCCGGGGATGGGCCCTGATTGCCCCCAGGTGATGGCAGAAGAACAGAACTCCCAGCACCGCTCTTCTCTGGGAAGCCCGTGTTCCACGTCGCAGCCACTGGCCCCCGCGCAGCGTGGCTCTCCATGGTGTCCCACGAGTCTCCGGTCTGGAAGCTCTCCTCCGCAGGCCTCCAGGGTTGACCCGAGGCGGCGGTTCTTGGAGCTGCACTTGTTAGAGGTGGACTAGCCCTAGACTCGCTGCATCAGAAACTCCGGGGCCGGGGCCCAGCCAGCCGTCCGGGTGACTGACTCAGGCTGAGGCTTGGGGGTGCTCAGCAGAGGGGGTGAGTCCTGTGGGGCCCACCTGTTCCTTCTCTTCCCTCCACGTCCACGCCCACTGCTGTAATTGACCACGAGGTACTCCTGCGACAGCTTGTCTCCTCCCACAGGTGACATCCCATCCACAAGGGGCAGCTTACCGTGGCTGAAACCCAGTGCTATCCCGCACAGCCGTGCAGCCTCCACTCACTGTAACCAAATCGATGGTAAACTCCTCCCCCTAGATTTCCAGGCTCTAGGATTCAACGTTTAAGCTCTAAGTTTGCGTTTCACCCTTCCATGACAGTCAACCCCTGCGTTCTGGCTTTTTGCAGAGGCCCCTTCTGCTATCCCAAGGATTCATGCCATCTTCACATGAGGAACCCCTACCTACCCTTCAAAGCCCCCTGCACTTTCTCCCACCTTAGTGAAGCTTGCCTTTAATCCTTCTCTTCCTTGAATGCCAGCACTTTGCCCTTCTCTGGTCATATTTGTCTTTATGAAGGTTTTTGTGCATTTCCTGACTTTGGGGAAGCTGTGACTTTCCTCTTTGTGTTTTCATCCAAGGTGATGCCTACCTGAGTGTCTAGTTCATAACAGATGCTCAGCATTGAATGAATTGAGTAGTTTCTGAAATAAATGAACTAGTGAATTAAAACTTGCCAAAAAGAGCGCAGAATAAAACATAGACAAATATTAGTCTTTTGGTGTTTATAAAAAGGCATAATATTTGCTAATAAATGCCAGTTTGTTTTCTAAGTATTGTTATAACAAGATAAGCCAATTTGTATTAATTTTAGCTATTATCAGTTAAAATTAATTGAACACCAACCAACAGCTTAAAATGTTCTCAAGGGTCCCTGAGCACTTGTACATAATTAAAGATGTACTTTAATTAAGAAACCTGAAAACGGAGAGCGAGCCTGGCCCGGGAGAGCCGCCCCGCGGGCCCGGCCGGCCCGTCTGGACGGCGTCTGCTCACGGAGCGTCAGCTCTCCCGCGGCCCACGCGCTGGCCGTGCTATGCGCACAGTGCGCCCAGCCCGGCGTCACTGCTGTCAGAGCCCCAGCCCGCTGCTTCTTTCTTCTTCTGCAGGTTGTTTACGATGAACGGGCATCTTCTGGACGACTCGAAGGACTTGCAGGACAACCACTTCTATGTGGCGGCAGGACTGGAGACGTTCAAACACTTCCCTTACTGGAAGTGCCCAAGGGTCCCTGGCGACGTCCAGCAGTGAGCACACGGCCCCTCTCCCTCTCGCCTGTAAATCCCCCTCTTTCCCCGCCCAGCGTCTCTCCCCGGTGTGGCCTCTTCTGTCTGCCCTTCATGCTTATTTCATAAGTGGTGCAATTTTGGGTTCTCACAGTCTAGGTGTGGAGGAACCGCTGCTGTTTGATATATTCACAAGGACCACGAGGTCCTGCATGAAGTCCCTCGTCTTCCTCTGGGGTTACTGGGGTCATCGAGGTCAAGAGTCTAAATGTGCAAGATGGAGCCCGCCCCAGGCACCGTCATGGGAGCCCATGCTCCACCTGGCACAATTTTGTTTTCTTAATTCTGCGCGCTTTTCCTTTTCTAAAACACAGGGTTTGTGTGGGGCGGCAGTCTCTGCTGGTGAACAAAGCAGTGACTTCTGGGGTGGATCTGGGACCTGGCTGATGGGGCGCCGCATGGCGTGTGCGGTTGTGGCCATGAAGGGGTGGCTGGGAGGAAGCTGAGACGTGGGTGGGGGCTCCGGTCCCTTCGCCCTGCGGCTTGCGTCTGGAGTCGGGCGGACAGGCGCCTGTAGCTGAGCCGTTGCGCTCCCTTTGGACTCATACCTGGGGACGCCTGGCGGTTTTATCCTGAGGCAGAGGAGCCCAACGCTGGGGCTCCGACTTGTGTCTGTGTCCTGCGCTGACGTCACGTAGAAGGAGGAGCTCCACGTCTGCAGAAAGCGCTGCTCAGGTTCACCCGCCTCGAGGTCGCGAGGTGAGGTGGTCTGGCTGCACTCCCAGGGCAGTCACCCTCGACGCCTCCTTGGACTCCCGCTCCTTGCTTCTCAGGTTGTGTTTGTGTGTGAAACCACAGGGCTCCCCACCCTGAGGGCCTGTGGGTCTGTGCAGTCCAATCCCCCCCCCCTTTCCTGCTGTGTCGGCCAGGCGGAGAACGCCCTACGGGCCTGGGGCCCCAGGGCCGCGCTCCCGGCGGGCTCCTGTGTGTCTGCTGCTGGGTGTCAGGGCTGGGCCGGGCTCAGCGGTGGCTCGGGAGGGCGGCTGACCTGCGGGACTGGAGTGCAGAGGCACGTCCTGATCCACGTGCTCAGTTTTGGTCCCAAACGAGGGCCCCGGGATCAGGGCTGAGGCTGGGTTTGCTGCGCTGGGGTCAGCTAAGAAGGCCGGCGTGGGGCCTGGGAGGACGGCAGGCCCTCAGGCGCTGGGGTGTCGGGAGCGTGGACACCGGACGCACGTAGCCCGGCCCTCCTTCACGAGACCGTCAGGTGCGATTTTAAGGTTCCGGTTTCCAGGGCTGCTGAGATGAGCGGTTTCTGGAGCTGACCTGGGAGGTCTCCCACCCTTGGTTGCTTAGCCCCCGGCTGGGTTTGAACCACACTTGGTGTCGGGAGCTTTTCGGGAGCCAGGAACCTCCCCGTAGCTGCTTCTCCGTCACGTTTTAACGGTCTCTGTGTTGAGCAAAGAACAGAGGTGCCCGTTCTCATCTCACTGTGGGGCAGGCAGGCGGCTTCAGCCTTGCAGGTGGGGGCCTCCACCCCACCCCCGAGGCCCCCTGCACGGAGCCCCTTTTGGGAAACTTGAGATGCCCTCGCGGGAGCGGTGTCTGGCGGACCTCATGCCTCTTCCGGCTCGTATGCCGTTAGGGTTTCTGCTTCCAGGCAGAGAACGGCTTCCTTTGTCCCTTTCGGATCGTGACCCTCCAGGCAGGTGGTTAGGTTAGGGTCCGGCTAGCGCGCCTGCCAGGCCGGGGTGTTTCCTGATTTTGTCGATTCCTTAATCCATCACAGCTGGTCCTGGCAGCCCGGGGGTGGAAAGACGGGAGGAGCCGTTGGACTGAGCTGACTGGCTCTCTCTGCTGTGTCCCCTGCGCCCTGCACGAGTTCCTTTGTCTTTCAACGTGTTTTGTCTCCTCCTGTCATCGTTCACGTGTTGCACCCTGGCCGGAGTCTGTTGGTTGCTTAAATAGCTTTCTCCCTTGCCCAGGAGGTTGGGTGTGGATGAGGAGTTTCCGCAGAGTTGCTGAGAGACTGAAGTCCACTCACCCTTGGGGAAGTAGACCCAGGGGTGCTTTTGTGCTGGAGAACCACGTGGGGGGGGGCCTTCCCCACGGGCAGAGGAACAGCTGGAGTAAAGCTGGACGAAGAGTGGGAAGCAGGCCTGCGGGCCCGCGGTTGTCAGCAGAGAAGGGGGAGAGGGCAGGGCAGGCGGCCCAGAGCTCTGACGGGCCAGGACGAGGACGGACCGGGTTTGGATTGGATTTTAGCTCAGTTCTTCTGCCGATGAGCTGTGGGCCTGAGTGAACCCGTGGGTTCTGGGTTCTCTGAGAGCAGCGACGTAAGGGCTCCACACATCATGGCGAGGGCTGTGTGCAGAAGCCGTTGTCTGTGAGTGTGACTGACCAGCTGTCAGAAACTTTAAATGTCGGAACCCCCCACCCCACTGCCCCCAGGGTCATATAGAAGCTTTAGGGCAGAAGGTGCCTGCAGACATGCAGCCTCGGGGGCAGACCCCCCCCCAAGTGAGAGACTCTCAGGGAAGGAACGTGAGCGACTGCCTTGGGGCCCACTCTCTCGGGAGCCTGGGGGCCACCCTGGTGTGGGCTTGTGTCCTCTGGGGACCCTGAGCTCCCTGCTCTTGATCGGTGCCTCCTGAGGTCACCGCAACAGCCTGCATGTTTCTTGCAGAGATTTTGGCCTAGCTCTAAACATCTCTGGCTGGACTGTCTTTTGTTTTTCAGGAAGTACACAGACATTGAGAAATACTCACGAAGAAAGAAAAAAGTAAGTACGACTGCAAAGGGGACGGGGAGGAGCGTGGTGGCCCTGGGTGTCCTTTGGCACCGACAGGGACCCACCATGGGACGGCCCCTCGTTGTAGAAGGGGCCTCTCAGCCCGCGTGGGGCGCCGGGCTTCCTCCTGTGGGCGAGGGAGCAAGGGACGACTTTGCTCAGAGTCCGGGGCTGGGAGGTTCTTTGGTGTGAATGGTACAGCCTTGAAACCCCATGCGTTAGTGGTTCTGGAAGCTTCCACGCACGCAGGTGACGGCCCCCGTCTGCCGAACACCGCGGCGTGCTTCTGCTGCTCCTCCTCCGCCGTGTCGTCCTTGTGCCTTTGGCTCTATCGGTAGGGATGGAATTTTCTTTTCCTTTATGTTCGTTCTCTTGGGTCTAAAATCGGAGCACGTCTGTTCTGATACTGCATTTCCTTCTGTCTTCTGGGAGCCGTCACTGGGAAGTTAACCAGCTTTGATGAGGACACTGAATACTTTGAAATCTTTAGACAGAATGATCACAAACAGCACAGACCGCAGTGCAAAAAATGTGCTATTTTAGAAAAATTAAGCCTATTATTGAAATTCTCATATGAAGTAGGCGTGACCAGAGCACACGGGAGCAGGTGCTCTAGAAAACAAAGTCCTGGAAGATGACGAAGGCGTTGGCTCAACGAAGCCTGCTGAGGGTTTTACGGCGCTCGCTGTCCCTCGGGTGAAGGTCAGCCTGACGCGTTTGTCTCAGAGCCAAGTGCTGAGGGCGGAGTGGCTCGGGCAGAGCGCGTGCTTGGCATGCACGAGGCCCTGCGTTCAATCTCCAGTGCCACCATTAAAAAAAAAGAACTGAGTGCTGAGAAAGCCGTCGCCCCAGCTGCCGATGTGCGCGGTGCTGAGCGCGGGAACGGCTCCTCTCGCTGGCGCCTTGGGTGCGGGAGGCTGGACCTCAGGATTGTTCACAGCAACTGCACTGCAGTCAGTATGTTTGTTTCTTTCTTTACTTGTTCCTGATTTTCCCCTTCTAACCGATTAACTTCTCTCATCTGTCTTCTGTGTGAACCACCTCAACATCCTTTTTCAAAGTGGGGAGGAAATTTAAAAATCAGGGCTGGAAACCCAGGCGGCCCCTCCGCGGGGACGTCACCCGCAGCACGTGGGGGGCTGTGTGCACCCTCGGTGACCCTCGTGCTCGAGGGTGTCGGGTGGGGAGAGGGGCGGGTCTCTGTGAGACCCAGTGCTGAGTCCTCTTTTAATCTGCACGTGGTTTTTTGTTTTTAATTGGAGTATAGTTGATTCACAGTGTTTGTGAATTTCTGGTGTACAGCACAGTGATTCAGTTATGTTTATATTCTTTTTCATGCTTTTTCATTATAGGCTATTACAAGGTGTTGAATATGGTTCCCTGTGCCGTATTTTTTGTCTTTTTAAAAAAGAAATTATATTTCACTTGTATCCCCCTTCACAGAGGCCCTGGGGATTGAACCCAGGACCTCGT